GACAGCTTAGGTCCACTCCCCACTAAGCCCTCAGAAGGACATCCTTAGAGCTGTCACAGACGAGAGAGGCTCCCATTACTACCACTGTGCTTGCCAGTCGTGAGCTATGAGCCCAGCTTCTGGCTGAGCAGTGCTCTCCCTGTGGGAGTGCACTGACCACCAGGGGTCAGCTCCTGTATTGAGTGTCTGCCCCCTGGTGGTCAGTGTGTGTCATAGTGACCTGTCATTTCTGCTGTTTGGTCTATTTGCATATTATCCTTTTACTATGTAGGATATTTACTGGCATGTGTTATATAATATGTAATTTATAAACTAGCATTATAGTTATTAGAAATACACTTTAATAAAAATCCTGATACATTCAGTGTTCAGGATTTTTGTCTTATTACTAACAATATCCAAGGAAGAATTTCACTATATAAAAAGTTAATTTTAAAAATTAATTATAAAAGTAGAGTGGGGTTAATTAATATTTTCATGTCCATCTTCGGCCTAACATTAGATGCCTAACTACTCTCTGATGGAAACGTCTAATATTTATGAAGGGCTTATATTCAAAATGTGAACCAAATATTTACCTTTGTTGATATGAAAAATCAGTTGATTTATAATTTACTTCAGCTGTGAGTGTCTGCAAATATTTTCTGTCTTAAGACAAATTTTGAACAAGCCACTAAAAAAATAAAATTGCTGAACCCAAAGGAAAATCAGCCAGTTTATTTATCGTCTTGATTTTAGGGATTCCTAACACATGCACTTTTTAAAGAGACTGTGAGGCATGGAATGCTAACAATCTTCATTGTCGGGAAACTTCCGAAAATGCTGCCTGCATGCCTCATGCATCACTTAGAGCTCATTTCCTCTCACTGCACTGGCCGGACAGCTGGCCAGCATCTCCCATCTGCACCGCCCTCAGGCTCCTGCTAACTGTGTAACAGGGTGCCCTTCTGAAATAGTAGTGCTACTTGGAGGCCGATTTAAAACAGGAGAGAAAACATTAAAAAAAATCTTGTGTGAAATAACATTTTAAACTTAACTTTGAATTGAGCTATGCAGTAGATTAGATCAATGAATGGGCCAAAGTACTGAAATGCTGTCCCTAGAATAATTCAGAGGAATACTTAAAAAGTATTACTGGCTCGTAAAACACCAGGCCTGGAAATTAAAGATGTTTATTTCTCAACAAAAAGTCTTTGACTGTAACTCTCTGGCACACTGCCAACAAGGCCAGCTCTTTGGGGGAAAACCCTATGCCAAAGGCCAAAGAGGCAGCTGTGTTATTCAGCTCCTGAGAGCTTCCAACTCAACACCCACACAAGCTCAATTATGAACAAATTAAAGGGATCCAGGCTGAACATAGTAATTCTGGTAATTTAAATAAATAGAGGAAGGTCTACAATTAGTAGGAAAAGATTGATTTTCTGGAAAACCCAGAAAATGACACCCTAACCCCCTTTGAATAAGCATAGTTACATCTAATTATTTAAAAATAAATTTCCTCTTATTCATTATTTTAATCATTCTTGATGTTACTTAAATGTGGCCACATGCATGCTGACAAAAGTATCTACCACATATTAAGGTAGAAGAGCCTAAAAAAAATCTATAATGGAAATATAGGAATTATTGACACTAAGTAAAGTTATAACTAGAGTTTTATACCTATGTTGCAGAGCACATAGAAAATATTAATCATTTATACATTTTACAAATGCAGGGAAAAATTTCTAGTCATTCAGATATTAAATATTGGGGAATCTATTAATATAACTCACCATTTTAATAAAATAAAGAACAAAAGTCTCATAATCATTCTACATAGATCATTAAAATAACTTAATAAGATGCAGCATACATTCCTGATTAAACTAAAAGAGCAAATAAAAATATTTTTAAGAAGATAGAAATACAAAAAAACTTATTCAACCTGGTGAAAACATTTCTACCAGGAACCATCAGCAAACATGGTGATAGACACACACACACACACACACACACACACACACACACTCTGTTTAATTTTTAAATTTATTTTGATGAGCTGATCTAAAGTTCATGTAGAAGAATAAATGCCTATGAAGAGCCAAAGTAATTTTATCAAAGAAGAAAAATCAGAGTATCCTGCAAGTTATCAAAATATATCATGATAGCATGATCATCTAAAAAGGATGGTCCTGGCAGGGGACAGACTCATATAACAACAGAACAGCATGTCTAGAAATCAACTCAGGCAGCAAGGAAAATTTGTGTGCAATGTGACTGCATTCTGAATTAATGGGAAAGAGATGCAAAAGTCAATAGACATTACTAATAATTTGTCTAACTTACATGGAGAAAAATTTTCCACTCATAAGCCATGGATATTATTACATCACAAATTTGCTACACTTTAAAAACAAAGAACAAAACACAAACAAAAAAAAATCAACAGTAAGACTTTAAAAGTACTAGAAGAAAATATATAAGAATAAAACTCAAAAGTCATGAATGAAAAGATGAAAATATTTGACTATAAGACAAAAACCTTTTTATAGTAATGAGTATCATGCTCAAGCTAAAAAGAAAAATTGTAAGAAATTATTTGCAACTTATGTAATATTCTTAAGAGAAAAAGAATTAATACATAGAAACACTGGCAAAGGATATGAATAAGAAAATTATAGAATAAGAAATACAAAAAGGTCTTCTAAGCCCCCCAAACATAAAGAGCTGCTAAAACTCCCAATGAAGCCTAAATTCAACCAAAAAGGGAAATGTAAATTATAAATCAAGATTCATTCATATAACATAACACCACACATATCTTACAAAGAACCACAACATATAAGATAGACACTTGTATGTAGATGGGGCAGCGAATAGAGTACTATCTAGAAGGATGCACACAGCAAACTATTTTAAAATTATGTTTGTGTCTGGAAGGAGATGAGGGAGGAGAAGGCTTTATTTTTTATAATAAGGATTTTGTAGCTTTGGAAACCTAAGTGAAAATAAGTAAATAGAACTTGTTCATCTTAAAGTAATTTGACATATGAACAATGACTCATCAGTATTCAAGTTAAAACACTAGCTTAGCCCCAGCAGCAAAAAATGAAATAAATCAAAGAAGGTGCCGATTGGGCTTGTTAGCTTTTGGAGATTCCTACACACTTGATACAGGAACAATATCCAACATAAATTAACTAGACAACAACAGGAGGTTTTGTTTTGCTTCAATTATTTTATTTTATTTTTTTACTTTGTGAAAAATAGTTCTAATAGTGACCCTCAGAGCCCTTTGCAAGACTGTTAGCTTTAAATTGGCACTTTCTGGAAGGGACCACATGTTGATGATTACTTTAAAAATTTTTTTCCAGCATATTTTACCACTTCTGCTGTATAGTGCATGTTAGCCAATGCTCTTAGTTTGGTGTTAGTGTCCTGAAGAACCCAATTCTGTAAGCTGAACAAACATTACTATTATCATTGTCATCTATGTCATAAGTACGATGAAATGCAATGGGTGACTGCTCACCATACATATTTTGCAAGGACTGTTTCAACTTGAGAGAGAAAGGCTCTTCAAAACAAACTTATCAGCAACAAGAAACATCCAAAGAAATACCATTTCTGGATACAGATTTGACATTTTTCCTTCCTTAAGTTAAAATGGATGCTATGTTTTCTTTTTCACAGATTTTTTTTTTTTTTTTTTTTAGAACCATAGTGCTGGCCACTTTGAAAAATTATATGAGGAAAACGGTAATATATTTCTCCTCCAAAATGAAGAGCAGTTTTTATCCATTCATCTTCGTCACAGAGGAGTTGGGAAGACTGAACAGGAAATGTTTATCAAGCACTTTATGAAAATAAATTGCCCTTTAAATTATTAGTAATAACCTATGTCATTGTCACACATTATTCCTCTGTTTTTTTTGAAGGATCACATGAGAGAAAATACCCACTTTTGCCAGTGCCCAGCACTGCATCTTTGGTAAGGCTTTCTACCCGTCTTTTACTACAGCTTATTAGAGCAAATGTATCCCAGGGATCTGTTCAATTTATAGAAAATAGGGTGAATTTCTCTTGTTTCCTCATGAACATTTTTCTGAACTCCTGTAAATGAGTTTACAGATAAGCACTATTTATCAGAGTGTTTTGTAGAACATGCAGTTTTGATTATTCTATTTTCTACTATTTGCTACTAATGAAATATGTAATAGGCCTCAAGAAAAAAACAATGGCAAAGCATGGCCTCTGAGCATTCAGGAAGCAATGAATAATTTGCTGAGAATTTATGTTGTACCCACACTCCTCTCTAAACATTTGCTCTCCCCAAGAAGCCCAATGGGAGGGCAGCGATGTCCTTGGGTATCTGAAAAGTTTACGGGGTGCCACGTTTGTGCATGGGCCTTGGATCTGCCCTGGGCTCCCTGTGGGACTCAGAACCTCAATGAAGTTGTTCAGGCACCACCGAGGTAACCCTGGCACCCTCAGTCTGGCAAACAAAGGACCTCTCTTTGCTCCAGTGTTGGGGAGATGGGCATTTAAAGACATGAATCCTTTGCTGCCATTCCTGCCCATCACCCACAGAGAGAGGAAATCCCCCACAGAGAGAGGAAGAGGATGCATCTAACCACATTATCTTCCCAGGCCCTGCGACACATGTGTATGTAAGCAACGGAAAGTCTCCAGCAGAAGCGAGAGCATAGATCCAAAGGCAGGGGAGTTAAATGCTAATGGTATTCACATCCTCCAGAACGAATCATCATATTTTTCTGACCTATGTGGGCCACTTTATAAAAATAAGTCATCTATCTCTCTTTTACAAAGGGAAGGGGTAATTACAGTGAAGCATGTGAGAGGAAGTGAGAAGATAGGATAACCAATACCCGCTGCTCTAGGCTTCAGTAGGCCCTGCCCCGTAAGGCTGGAGTGGAAGAAACAAAGGCAGGACATTAGGGAAGACAGATGGACTGAGGCTGGAGAGCTGACCTGGAAGTCACCCTGCCCTCACTTACCCAGGTCCATGCTCTTTGAGGCTTTCAGACTCATGGATTCGGGCTGCCTGGCTGGTGTCACAGATCTGAAGTTGATGTGCTGATCTGGAAAATACACAGCCGGATCCATCCCAGAACTAGGGAAAAAAGCCAGATGCCATATTTAGGTTTAGAATAAAATCTCTCTCTCTCTCTCTCTCTCTCTCTCTCTCTCTCTCTCTCTCTCTCTCTCTCTCTCTGTAGCAGTCCCCATTTTGAACAGAGACCCTCATCACTCTCTTTGCAGCACACAACTATGCATCTTGAATATCAGGTTTCTTTCATGAGATGTAGCCATTTCTTTTTCATATATGTTATCACGCTCTAAAACTTAAATAAAATATTCTCTGGCTAATATGGTGTTTTCCTCTTGACTGGTTCCCGCTAATTGGGATCCTGAGGTACAATCCATAACTCTGAGTGTGTAAGGCGAGGCAGGAATGCACAGGCACTTCAAAGGATGTTGCCAGATACCAGCAGAGACTAGATTCGGGTTAGATGTCTATGGGCTAGGCATGCCCTTCCTTTAAAAACAAGTGAAAGAGAATCCCTTAGAGAAAACCATCCCTTTGAATGACTGAGGGCTGCAGCAGTCTGATTTTCTACTTTTTTTAGGTCTAGGATCTAAAACTAATGTTAATGCTGAGCAAATAGTCTCCTCATCAATAATACCAAAAAGGAAATAGCAGGGAAAGCACACTTGACAATTTAGACACAAGATACATCAAATGTTCATTATAGGGTTCCTAATACTTGTAGTCAATCTCATAGAATTCTATTTCTGCTGAACACTGTATTTATTTTACTTGAAGATGGAGGAAATTATATAAGGGAATTACAGATGAGAGCTTCTTTCTTGATCTGGAAGTAAATTACATATATATATATATATATATATATATATATATATATATATAGTAGTGGCCTGATGCGCAAAATTCATGCAAGAGCAGGCCTTCGCAGTCACAGCAGCTGCCTGTTCCCTTCCTTGCAGCCCCAGCTGCAGCTTCTGCTTCATCCAGGAGGTCATCTGGAAGGATGTCTGGTCTAATTAGCATATTATGCTTTTAATATATATATGTATATATATATGTATGTATATGTATGTACATGTATGTATATGTACACACATACACACACACACATAAGCGAGAAGGTTGTAATTTCATATACTATTAAATTAAATTATAGCAATCTTCTTGGTACTCCTGTATGTTCAGAAGGTAATTATGGGTAACTATGGTGGTTCATTTTAACATAACTTTATCCTAATCTTAAATACAGTGAAAACTCAGGTCAAGTATCTTGGTGAGTCTGAAAGTAGTGAGGCTGAATTTTTTAAACAGTTGATATTTGACACTATAAACAATAAAACAATGACAACAAAAATAAACTATTATGAATGAAAACCCTTCTAAAATGTACAGGGGGCCGAAACCGGTTTGGCTCAGTGGTAGAGTGTCGACCTGTGGACTGAAAGGTCCCGGGTTCAATTCTGGTCAAGGGCATGTACCTTGGTTGCGGGCGCATCCCAGGTGGGGGTTGTGCAAGAGGCAGCTGGTCGATGTTTCTCTCTCATAGACGTTTCTAGCTCTCTATCTCTCTCCCTTCCTCTCTGTAAAAACTCAATAAAATATATTTTTTAAAAAATGTACAGGGGATCTCAGTGTCTTAACCAAATATTCCAAAATAAGTTTACTCTCTTATTGAAACTCATTAGTCATGCATATTTAATATTGCCTTATAGCAATATTAAAATTAATGGGCAGCTATGTAACATTGCTGAATGAATGAATGAATGAATGAACCTCCATTATTGTGATGTAGTGGGGAGATGAAAGAAGTACAAATACCACAGCAGGTCTGCCCAGTTCTAAATCCTGGCTAGTTACTAGCTGTGGCCAAGTTATTGAACCTCTCTGTGCTTGAATTTCTTTATGTAGAAAATGGGTATAATTACACTCCCTATCTTAGAGTGCTGTTAAGAGATAAAGTGATTTAAGTTTGCAAAGTCAGGAGAATAGTGTCTCTTCAGGGTAAGTGCTATAGATGCTTTTAGGAAACAAGCAGATTAATAGATCTGCTTGAGCTTCCCAAATGAATGCAAATTTCTTCTTTTTGAGTTCCCCAGGATTTTTACAGGTTACTTAGTCTTCTCTGCTTTTTCAGCCTCTTGGTAGGTCTGTATCTGAGACCCATTTGCTCTTGTTTAGAAGGGTAATGTGGTGCAATGGTCAGGGCTCTGGGCTTGAGAGTGAGAGGCGAGAGACCATGGCTTCAGTGTCCTAGTGCACTATAATAAATGAATAGTAATCACACTGACTCTATAAGGTTATTGTAAGGATAATTTTGAAATTTGTTAATATTGACAATGGCGCACACAATAAGAGCTTAATAAGTGAGCTATTAATTCTTTTCTTTATTTCTGCAGGTTAGATTGGTCTTTGAATGAGGGCCTGAAGCACTCTACAGTGAAGAAATTATACGTTTTCACAAAAACTTCTTAAGACGTTTAAAACTGCTCTTGCGATTTTGAAGTTTATTTTATTTTTTTACTTCTTTCTTGATGTCTGTCTACATTTTTCAATTGACAAAGCCACTGACATAGAAAATGTATTAGATGTGGTGTCTAGTGATGGCAAAATACGCCAACTGTGAACAAAAATCCTTGACCCACTAGTGCTATTGCCACTGGCCTCGCATAATGCCAACACTTTCACTGCTTCAGCTCATCTTAAAGAATTCAGATGCTTCTGTGACTGCGAGTTCCCCCTCAGCCTCCTGTTTGGAAGCACTTGCCTTTAATGATGTTATCTGACCTCCATGTGCACTTAGTCTTTCATCCTTTGATCTCTTGTGATGATGTGGTTTTAGTGTCAGAAAGACTCATGGGCTTCATAGAATCAGAGCCTTTCAGAGCCAGAAGGCGGGAAAGGTCACCTCATCTAACTCTCCATCTTGTAGATAAGACACTCTGGGCCCAGAGGGGAGGCTGAAGTTTCAAGGTCACACAGCTGGCCAGTGGCCTAGCCAGGACCCAAACTGTAGCTTCTTGAACTTTTCCCAGGGCCACAAACACATCGGCTAAAATGGTGGCCAACCTGAGGCACAGGTTGTTGCTGATCCTGAGTCCAAAGAAAGTGAAACGTTCCCTGTTACTATAGATTTGCTCACTCTCTGATGCTTCTTGCATTTTAGATTGACTTTTTGTTTGTTTGTTTGTTTGTTTCAGGAAAGGGTTGCATATCATGAAATAAAAGAAAACTAGAGTCAGTGCAAACAGATGCCATGCGTTATAATGAAAGTCTTCAGGAGGAGGTTTAGGACCAACATGAACAGCCGTCATTGAAACTTGGGCCCCATGCATTGACAGCCCTCTGCTCAAGGAAGACTGTGGGAATCTACCCAAAAGAGTAACATACTAGTTAATGGCACTTCATTGTCTGAGATTACTTTACAAAAACACACATGCATTGACAAATTAAGGCTAAAAACTCAAATTTACCCAGATTCTTGGGAGACAACCTTCTCTATCTCCATTAAAAACAAACAAGCAAACAAAACAATTAAAGCTGATAATACCACTTGATGAAATAACATCAAGAAGGTCCTGTCTAAATAAAGTGAATTTCTTTTTGTAGATATATTGATATATAACCAAATAAATAAAATTAACCATAGTGATATATACATCCACTACCATCGTTTTGAATGTGACCAAGTGTACACTTGCAATGGTCAAGTGTATACGACCAAGTGTATACTTATTATACAATGAATTTGAAGCTGATATCAGCTTGGCAGATAGTTAAGGATGGAAGTAGGTCTAATATGGCATTATGGGATTAAAGCCAATGGGAGCATACAGGCACTTCAATAATGAGTGCAGCACTGAATTAGTTAACATGCTAATAGTTTAGGCATGGAAGTTTGACTAGCAAAACAGTCTGCAGTTTTATGCTACGTATGAAAGATTCTTCAAGTGGGAGAGTGGCATGATGATTGGAGATGCTCATGGCTGAGTAGGCCGCAGTGGAGGCTGCGGGAAGCTGGACGTTGACAGTAGGCCGCAGACGTGCGTCAGGTAAAGGCTGTGTTTTCAGCATGAATAACCAGGGGATCTATCAGATAGGAATGATACTCAATGTCAAATTATGCTGCATAATGAATGAATGGGGTAGCATGAAATGCACACCAGTGTCCCGAGTGTGGTGGCAAGTCTGGAATGTGACAGACAGGTAGGACCCAGGCAAGAATGTGCAAGGAGAACTGTCTGAAATAAAAGCTGGGGGATAAGTTTTTAGGAGCATGCCAAAAATCATGTCAGAAATCCGAGGTGTCCACAAATAGGTTTCAACAATTGGCTACTCTGAGTGAGAAAAGATGAGTGTGTGTGTGTGTGTGTGTGTGTGTGTGTGTGTGTGTGTGTTAGAGACAGAGAAATAGAGAGAGAGAGAAAAAGAGAGAGAGAGAGAGAGAGAGAGAGAGAGAGAGAGAGAGAGAGAGAGAGAGAGAGAGAAAGGACAGAGATATGAATCAAGATAGAAGGAAATAGACAACAACCAAATATTGTCTAAGCTGTTACTATATTCTGTCTGCTGTTAATTTGCCATGAAATATCACTATAGAAAATAAATTTCTTTTATATTTATTTACTTTTTACTCAAACACATATATTCTAAATTTTTGTCTGCTAATTACTGATATAATGCTACAACTAAGTTCAGTAAATCCCCGATTTCATTTGAGTTTAAAGTGCAGGCATTAGGTTTGATCCAATCTGTTTTTCACTCTTCATGCAACAGCAGTTTCTGCTCCATAAGACTGGCTCCATCCCTAAAGCGCCGCTTCCCCTTTTAGAGGGCTTTCAAAGTTCATTTATTTATTTACGTATTTTGAAAGACAGAACGGCCTCCCAGCCTCCTTTGCTCAGCCATCCTGGACCTCTTCCAATTCTTCCTCCACCCCAAGTTTCACACATCCAAATCCCACTGCTGCTGGTCACCTAGGCAACGCAGCAGCTCTCAGGATGGTGCAGGTCAGGAAATCCCAGGAGGGAGAGTGTTTCAAAGCTTTAGATTTGTTCCTTCTATCTCAAACCTGTCCTTGGCTCCGTTTGTTCCTCTCCACCATGCTGCCCTTCCCTCCATTCTGCTCTTCCAGTCCCCAGACTGCAACCTTGTCTAGGGCTTCTTCTGTCCACTCATGACCACCAAACACACGGACTTGATATTGTCACCCAGGCTTGAAATCCTTCAGTGCTTCTCCGCTCTCTGGAGAGGCCGGTGCCCAGAGTGAGAGATAATACCCTTCCCATTGATTCTCTCCCAGGTACCAGATGCTTCAGCCACTCTGAGCATGCTCTGTAAGACCCTCTCCCTTCGTTTGGGTTTTCCTAACCCAAACTGCCCTTCCCACCATTTCTCTGCCTCCTAAGCTCCTTTCTCTTCTCCAAGGGACCATTTAGACATCACTTCTCCTGTAAGAGCTTCCTCGCTCCCTGCAGGCAGAGTTACTGGCCAGCAGATTGTATCTAATGCTCATCAAGCAGGCTCCTTCCTGCTGTGTGTCTGTCTCTTCCAGAGGAGCCTGCATTGCTTAGGGTAAGGGTGTTCTCTAATCTGTGTACCTTCTGCAGTGGCCAGTTTGGAGCTCCATAAATACTTTTGGGTGGATGAGTGAGCAAATTAATGACTCTAATACTGTGGAGGAGAAATAGAGAATCAGGTTTGAGACAATGACATACTTTTAATTAAAAGATTACTGTTGATGAATAGAGCAATTCTAGGCAAGGGGTGAGGACAGAAGCCAAAACAGAAGGTTAAGGAGGGAGAGGGGAAACAGAAGTGAAAATTATTATTTCAAATCATGTGATGAAGATTGACAACAGTAGGGGCCAATATAAGCTGTTTGTAAAGACCATGGAGAAAAGCGCTTTACAGAAAAGGTCAAGAAAAAAAAAAAAATCTGTGGAGACACTGAAGCATCCAAAAACACACTTGCTAATTCTCACTAATTCTATCTCTGTGACATCTCTGAACTCTCTCTCTCTCTCTCTCTCTCTCTCTCTCTCTCTCTCTCTCTCTCTCTCTCTCTCTCTCATCTTGTTAGCATAGGCAGCTAGTTAGGGATTAACAAAAAGAGAAGGGAGAACACTGCCTGAGGCTGATTAAATCTGGAAACTACAGTTTCAGTCACACAGGGGAACAGCCTCCATCACTGCCAAACAGACTTATAACATCCTAGCGGGCAGGAAAGACTGGTTTTCCAATGTCCCCCTTCCCTGGATTAAAGGGGAGGGTGAAATGGTTAAGAGGAAAGTCTTTTCTTTGGTTCATAAAGGGGAGGAAACACCTGGGAAAAGGTGGGATTGGACAAGGGCAAAGCCTAGAATCTAAGAAGGAGATTGGCTAGGGGAGGCACCCGCAGAGCCCCAGGAAGACCCAGGAAACATATTGGCTAGTTTGAAAGAAAGCTTACCTCTTCCGAAACCCAAGGAAACATAGGTAAACTTAACAAAAGCCCCAGTCTCTTTAGCAGCATGGGCCCGAAACACAGTGCTCACAGCGCTGATCTCAGGCCAGACTGAGGGGAAGAGACTAAGCTAGACTCCTGGGCTTCTGATGTGGGGGTACAGGCAGGCAGGGGGCACAGCTCTGGGCCCTATGGACAAGTGCAAACCATATTAAGCTAGGCTTCTTTCACAGTGAGGTGGTTTTAATCTAGCTGGTCTGGATCTGGGCATGGTGTACTGGGGGCAGTGAATGCCACCTACCAGCTGTGTGCCAGGGAAGTGCTGCCTCATCGAGTGTGGCAGCCTTTTCAATGGCGCGCTAATAAATCTTGCCACTGTTGCTTAAAATCCTCCTTCATGATTGTCCCTGAAATGCCTTTTATGAGACACCACGAGAACCTGTTTCCAGAGAGGCGGGCAGACCCGCCTTGGTGCCTCTTTCACTGGGAACAATCTGAGGCTTCTCCCATCCTCCCCAGGACGGTCCTCAGTACCTTTCACTCTGATTGTCACAGAAGGTACCCGAAGAGACTGTGTTTCCAGTGAACCTTAACCGTCCTCCCTTTTCCTACCCTATGTCTCACCCCCAAAACCTGGTCACAACATGCTCCTGTCTGCTGAGACCCTACTCGCATGTTAAGATGCATCTCAAATGCCACTTTTCTCCCCTCATGCTTTCTGGGTGCTCTGTCTGGAAGCATTCTCCTCCTCCTTAGACACCCAGAGCGTTTTATCTGTATCACTTCTGTAAAGACCACTTTGTACCTTGGGTCCTGCTGGCCACTTTTAACGACTAGCCTGCCACCTTCTTGAGGGTAGGATTTACATCTGGTTTTTCTTTGCGTCGTCCCAAACAGTTTTGCACATATACACAAGTAGAATAAATAAAAGTATTCTTTAAAAGGAATATTTAATGCCACCAGTCTGTCATTTTTGATTCAGGATTGAGGCAGGCAATAAAAATGAATGCACAAAATTAAATATATCCAGATATTCTCTAGAAAATCCCCAAGAGACAAAGATCTAGAGCATGAATACGACTAACAATCTATTTTGTGAAACTGTTTTTAAGTGAGATAGCTGACTTAAAAAAATGTTGGAATCAGAGATAGATAATATAGGTAAGCTGCCAGCTATTCTTTTGTTGTGTTGCTTTAATTTTTAGCAGATTGTAATAAAAAGTATAATAGGAATAACGCCAGCATTGCTGCAAGAAAAATGAAAAAAATTCACAGGATTATCATGGGACATAGAATAGAATAGAATGCACAGTTTTAAATGGCCATAATAAATATAGAAAATAGCAAAGGGACAATTTAATGAGTTTTAAAATTCATCAGAAGAACAAAATCTATGAATTCCACTAGTTAAATGGTGTATATGCTTAGCAAATCTCTCTCTCTCATGCTTGGGTGATTCTAAAAAATATTGATTTTTTGGAGTTTCTATTACAAAATGGATATAACATTGGGCATTCCTTGCAATATTTTAGATTATATATGGCATTGCTTTAATTTCTAGACTCCATTAACTTTCTGGGAACAGCTATTTCATAAAATACCTTTAGGGTTTGCCAATTACAAAAGAAGAAAAATATAAAAAAAATCCAAGCTTTATGTCTTCTCAGTTTGGCTTTATAGCTTCCCATATAACTTTTCTTAGATCTCCACTCTTACAAAGGCTTTAACTTGGCAAAAGAAAATCCAACCATTTTCTTAAAATGTTTTATCATCTATGATGAGCCTTAAAAAATTCCAAGAGGCAAAATACGAACAAGTGAATCTATCAACTATGAGAAGCCTTCACTGGAAAGGAATCATAGGCACTCTGAGATTTCCATTCTGGAAAGAAACAGAGTTAAAATAAGGTTTCTGGGATTTCCCTGAAAACCTATAACTAGGAACATTGATGGTGTATCATTTTATCGATGATACCTGTGGCTGTAATCTTCAAGGCCCAATTCCAGAACGGGAAGTAGTGATGGAGACGGAGGTACTTCGCTCTCAGCCCATCCATCACTGGGAAGCAATGGCTCTATAAACAAAGAACAAATGAAGCTGTAGTAAACCGGGGGCAGGATCATTCAGTGCCTGCTGCTGCTTCAGTCCAGCTCTCAGACACAATTTTCACCAGCACATAAACCAACCTCGAAATAAACAAATCCTCAGACGGAATGGGGGGATTTGTAGGGGAGCTAGTGCAGCCTGGACAAGGAACTCTAAGCCTGCTAATATGTTGTTAAGCTGGTGACCTGCTGGCAACTCCTGGCAAGTCCATGCATCTTGACTACCTTTTTCTATCTCAGGAAAGGCTGACACACATCACAGTTCCTTCCCTGTGATGAGTGGGAGATTAACAAAGCTATTTCTTTCATGACAACAGTTTTATAAACAAGATTCTGTAATGAATGCTCTGGATTATATGGTGACTTAAGCATTTGCCTTACTGACAAAAAGTACTTGAAAAAAATCATGAGATGCAGTATATCCACTCCCCATTTAGACACAGTAGAGAGAAAAATACTCTTTTTGCATCTGTTTCATAATCGAAACCCCTAGGCTTGGGGACTTGGAAGCAAAAAGACTGCAGACTGAATCTTGATTTTTCTATCCACCAAAATGTATGCTTTTCAGTCTAATCTTTTGCACTAGACTGTTAGATCTAAGGAGCGACAACAGAGATCCTATGGCCATCAAGGCTAAAATATTTATTCTCTGGCCCTTCACAGGCAACATTTGCTGACCCCTGCTTTAGTACTCTTAAGGACACTAAAGGCATTGCGTTCATCTTTACATCTCTGATGGTGTATTCTGCACAATGGAGGGATCCAATAAATATCATTAAGATTGAACAGTATAATTATATTTCTGATGACCACTGTAGAGATAGTGCCTTCCATGCTATGGAGGGGTGGATGGATACATGCTTGTTTCCATGAGAAGACACATCAGGAATAATTCTACTATTAGGTTTTTACCTCAAAGGACCCCAGGAAACACGGATTCAGTGGGATAGGACATAGAACAAAAGTTTAATTTGGGGTAGGGATGAAAGGTTTAGAGGAGACCCCTGTGGGTGATCCTGGACAGACTTGGGGCAATGGGTAACTGAGGTAGGAGATGGAGAACATGTGAGCTGACATGGAAGGGAAGCAGGGAGTAGGGCAGGAAGGAAGAAGTAATCCTATATAATAAAATGCTAATATGCAAATTGACCAAACTGCAGAACGACCAGTCGCTATGATGCACACTGACCACGAGGGGGCAAGAGCTGTCCCCTGGTGATCAGTGCGGGGAGCACCATTCAGCCAGAAGCAGTGAGCACAGTGGTGGTGGCAGGAGCCTCTCCTGCCTCCATGGCAGAGCTAAGGATGTCAGACTGGAGGCTTAAGCCTGCTTCCCCAGGGTAGTGGGTCTAAGCCATCAGTCGAACATCCCCCGAGGGCTCCTGGACTGTGAGAGGGTGAAGGTTGGGCAGAGGGCCCCCCTGCCCCTCCCTGAATGTATGAATTTTGTGCATTGGGCCTCTAGTAACAAATAAGAAGCAAACTGTTCTTAGGCTATTCCTTGGCCCACAGAGAAATCTGCCAACAAGATTCTTCTGAAAATACAGTGTTGGTGGACTTTATTACCATTCACATGCTTAATAGGATTTCACAGTGACCCCCTGGGACACAACCTCCATCCTCATTACCATCCTGGAACCCCGCTTTTTCCACTGCAGGCATTACTAGCATTTCTCCAACACAAATGTGAATTTTATGGTGTTACAATTCTACAAATGTTAGTTCTAAAAATGTCTTTTCTGTGGAACAGCTTGACAGAAATATGCATGTACAAAAAAAACAAAAACGTGGAACTGTGGGTGGTATGTACTATTATTACAAAATGGATGGAACACAGCATATCAACATTGGATTTTTAAATATACAAAGGAAAGCAAAAAGGAAAGAAAAAAAAGTCAATGTTTTGGCTGTAATAGCTCCTTTTCTCACTAGACATTGCATTTTGTCAAATCAATCTTGTTTTTCTAAAAGAGTTCCTTTCAGGAGTGGGTTTTGGTGAGTCAACACTCACTCTGTTTTTACGGGTCTTGGTGACCTATTGCCACCTCCCAGGCGTCTGAAACTCGGCAGCCACCAGTGGTTCTCAAAACTTAAAAAATGTTATTGAGATTACAAAGAGGTATGATCATGGTCATCTTCTATAGCATCATGTTTATAAATTCTGTTATATACATATATTTATCTCCAAGTCAATATGCTTATAGGAAAAGTAAGAGAATTTCACCCACTGGCCTCTTACAATTAAAATTTCATGAGTCTATGCTTTCATAAGCCTAATTCTTATAACGTAGTGTATCACAGATCCAAAAGAAAATAATAAAATAAGATGTTTTCCGATGTTTAAGAAATAATGTTTAGTGACTCCCTTCTTGAAATGTCGGAAACCAATCATTGTCTCACTAATAGAAAGAGGCTGGTCAACCTTAAAGCTCTGAAAGGTCAGAGCCAACCACACCCTATCTAATTGAGACAATAGTAACTGAGGCAATTTCCCCATCTTATAATCATGTAAATCCTTACTGATATGATAATCCACTTATTACCTGCCTAAGGGCTAAGGGTGTTTCTCAAAGCTGCTTAAGGGTAATGGGTGTATCCCATAGCAGCTTCAATAAAAGGGAGAGCAAGGCCAGAGCCTAGAAAGTCTTTCCACTAGAGGTTGACTCCCACCTGGCCCCCCATTTGTCCCAAATTAACTCTTTTCTAGTCTCTCTCTTCATTTTAGTGTGAGGCCTCCTCCAGAAACCGGACCCTGAGTGGGCCCTAATCACGCGGGTCGTGTTAAGGGTTCCCACATTGAAAGGACTGGATTTTTTATGTTTCCCTTAGAAAATTGAGGTCCAGGGAGGAAGTGAGGTAGGAACCTTGTAGGTAGCTGATCTGTATGGGTTTTCCATTGGTGTAAATGTTCTATCTGGTTCTACATCTCAGGAGGGAGGGAACAGACTGAACTGCCTAGTGTTTGTCTGTGGCCAATGTGCCTAACCAACTCCACTTGTCCATTGGAAATAGCAACTCTGAATATTCTATTCACATCCTAAAGTATTACACGTTTGTTTTTAGCATGTTGTTTTGAATGGACTTTATTATTTTTCTGGGTGTAATCTTATACCCTATGTATAAGTAAATTATACTCTAATATAAGTATAATTTACATAAGTAAATTATGTAGTTCCATAATTTTAGCCTTCGTTAGCCTTTATAGGTATTATCAATATCCTTGAGTATTTCAAGTCCTCTAAAAATACACTGTGCAATTATCACTTCAGCATCATGCTTTATAGATACTGAAAATTAAAAAAAAATGATAGGAAGTAAGGTGCCCAATGTTCCTATGGATGTCACAGGTATACTTAGAATTAAAACCCTAAACTTAAATGGCCACTGAACACGTTTCTTGAGATTTAAATGACAAGTCATATTAAGGCCATATGCTTTAATATAGGCATAGGAGGGAGAGAGCTATTTTAGTCTGTGAAAAACTTACTGTTCCTTCCCCAGATTCTCCTTCTGTTGGAATTGAAGGTCTCAGGAGGAGATCTTGCTTTGTCAAGACAAAATTAATTTTTAATAAGATAAGAAACAAACTGAGTATTTCTTCATCTGATACAAAGTAAAGTGGGCTTATAATGGATATTTTTAGGTAGAAGGACTTGAACAGTTTCAAGGAATCATGCAAAGCAGGGCCCATGCGATGGTACAGGAAATACACTTGAGTCAGGGAGACGGGCTGATCCAGGTTCTGTGTGGATCAAGTGTGTGGTCCTGGGTTAATTATTTACTCTCCCAACTTCCTATTTCTACATCTGTAAAATGAGGGTAATAATATTATCCACTTTGAGTGTGCATGTAACTTGCTTAACACAGTACCTAACAGACAGCAAACACTTAATAAATGGTCACAGCTGTTGCTACTGCTCTCACTGAAATAGGGGAATTTAGAGGAAAAAGTGGCATCCCATTCTGATGAAACAATTTAATGTAGAGAAACCTCAGAGTAATCTCAGAGTTGAGAGACTGTTTCCACATAATTAAGTCCTGGTAACATCTTACATGTAAATAAGGGATTGATTATATAAACGGCACTCCAGTCAATAGATTACTATACGACTACTGAATGTGATGATGTAGAATATCCAATGACATAGGTAGGTGTTCATAATGTGCTATTAATTAAAAATCAATTCCATAAATATTATATATAGTATATTTCACTTCCATTTAACTTTTATAGACATATTTGTATGAAGGAAAGATGTAAAAATGTTATGGGTTAGTATCTTTGATAGAAGTATGAGTAACATTGACTTTTTTATTGCTTTTCTCTAACTTTTTCTTTTTGGTAATGAATATGTATTGCTTTTACAATACAAAACTTAGATTCAGGGAAACAAAAAGAATTTTCTTGGTGACCTGAAGCAGAATTTTTGAAACACAAAGAAGAAAATCCAAGTGTTTTCTATCTCAAACTTAGCTAGAAATGTGACCCCCCAGCAGGTAAAAAGGTACAGTGAGACCTCATCTATTAGGTTTCCATAGTCACAGTGGTCTAGGTTCATGATATTTACAGAATCAAGCCTAAATCTGTGAATCATGTTAGGATCGTTTAATAATTTAATACTAGTCCAACACTTAAATTTTTTAAAAAATTGATTTCAGAGAGGAAGGGAGAGGGAGAGAAACATCACTGATGTGAGAAAATCATTGATCGGCTGCCTTCTGCAGGCCCCACACTGGGGATCGAGCCCATAACCTGGGCATGTGCCCTGACTGGGAATTGAACCGTGACTGTCTGCTTCATAAGTAGGTGCTCAACCACTGAGCCATGCCAGCTGGACCACAATTTTTTTTTTTTTAAGTTTAGTTATTTATACTTTTTAACTTCCAATATGAAAATATTATAAAAAGAAAAGAAAAAAGTGGCAGTTGCCATTTTGTTTCCCCAGGCAGGGTTTGTTTTGCACTAACCCTCCGTGTGTGGGGCATCAAGCACAGAAACTGTCACTGTCGCCGGAGGCAATGCCAGGAATCTGCTTCACAACTTCAGAGTCAGCTCTCCCACCCACATCTGCGCTCACCACTCAGAGCAGCAGAGTCTTCACTTGGTTTCATTCATGCCCCCTCACAACAGTAAAAGCACGCTGGTGTTTTCTCCCTCCACCCGGGTGGGTGGCCACGAACAGGCCTTACCTCTCTGCTTGTGGTGTGGACAGTATGTGCTAAGCGGATGCCACGTGCCATCCTCGCTCCTCCTGCAGGTGGCCACGGCGCTGGGACAGCTCTCAGAGCACGGCTTCGGAAACACCCCACACTCTCCGAGCTCCTGAGGGATGGACACCAAGGTTACATTTGCTTTTTAGGTATCTTCCAACTCGGTCAATGAAAGCAAAGCAAAGGAAAAGAATGATTGATGGATGAATAATCTCTCAAGAGCCTGTTGCTCATAAATCCTCAACTGTGAAAAACCAGGATGGGCCTATCAGTTAAAAGATCCTTCAATCTGGGATAGAAAACTACTGACCATGTGGTACTGAGGCTCAGGAGTGCTCATAGCCAACACAAAAGGGGACTGAGTTTCCTATTCTTTCCCCCATTTACAACTGGCTCCTTCTGATTTTTCTTCCATCTGGGAGTACAGCTTGTGGCAGCGTCAACACAAGAGCACAGCTCATGCCAAGGACGTGTCTCTGCCAGCCAGCTGGATCCCTCCCTCCCTGGGGACCCGGTGCACACGCTCTAGGACAAGTCAGGTTTGCCGCTGAAATGCTGTGAGTTCGGCCCACTGCAGACGCCGGGCCTTCTGGCCAGGAAATAAAACAAGCTGCTGTGACCATGCCAGACTGGGATCTCCTGAGAACTTTCTCTCTCTCTCTCTTCTTTCCCCCCATATTTTCCCCTCCTATTTTGACTTAGAAACTCTAGTCAGTAAACAAATGCACAGTTTCCTTAAAACTGCTGAACCTGGAATCACACCCCAAGCCATGTAGAAGGTGGGGCTGATACGGAGAGCGATCTGTTCAAAAGAATGGAGTCATAGAGTAAAGGGTTTTGATCCCCTTCACATTATGCATCTTCCTAACAGATATCAAGGAAGTCACTTGGAAGCCATCTCCTGGCCGTGCCCTTGACCGTTTGGGAGAGGAACATCCCACACAGAGAGACACAGATCTGGGCCCAAAGCTCCAAGGAGTTTAGCCCAAACAATGGATTGGATGTATGCTTTCCTTTTTAGTGACAGTATCCTGCTAGTGAGACAAATATTTGGAACATTCATTTTATGCATTCTTAATAATGAGAATGTTTTCAGTGCCTGAAGGTCCTTTAGCTTTTTGTCAAGACTTATAACACCTTTTCCACATCTGTTGCCTCTGCACTGCTCATCAAACAAGGCTGGCACTCGGCAAAGTGCTCTGAATTGACAGCTGGAGCCCTGGCAGGCAGGGGAGGTAAGGCTTACCTTGCATAGCCTCCTGCTTTTTTAAAAAAATTGAATTTATTGGGATGACATTGGTTAGTACAGTTATATAGGATTCCGGTGTGTAATTCTATAATACATCATCTGTATATTTTATTGTGTGTTCACCCCCCCAAGTCAAGTCTCCTTCCTTCCATCACCGTTCACCCTCCTTCCCAAGATCCTCTCCTACCTCCCTACCTCCCCTCTCCCCCTTTCCCTCTGGTATTCCCCATACTGTTGTCCTGCTATGATTTAACAATGACAAGAACAAAAAAAAATTTGTTTTTTTCTTGCTTTCCTAGCTCTTTGATAAATGACACAATCGATATCCCAACAACTGATCAGTAAACAGCCTAATTAAAGTGTTCAGCTTGTAAAATGGAGCTGCCATGGAGCCCTCCATTAGTGTCCCAGCCAATAAAAAATATAATGGATTTTTAAACATATTCTGCTTCTACCAAGATGAGCTTGCAGCAGGAAGGAAAATGTTTTGGGGAATGGGGAATAAAAAAACACACAAAAAACAGGTCATAACCCATTTTTTAACACCAAGTCTCCAGGCTCAAATAGAATTACAATTGAACCTCAAGCGCATCCTTTGAAAAACATGTTTCTGTTTAAAATGCTTTTGATTCAATCAAGGGCTCATTAGGTATTCTTCACAAGGCCCTCATCAAAACTGTTTACGCATCTTGTACATCTGGGTAATGTGGAAAAATACCCCAACAACTCTATATTTTGACTTTTCTTAAGTAGCTTCTTCAATTTTTATATCAATATAAGGTTCAAGTAACCATTATGGTATTCTTGCAGAGCCTACTTGATTTGCCTGAATGCATGAGGCATGCGGAGACCTTTTTCTAGCTTACAGATGCTTTCTTATTGCACCTGGGGGTGATTGCTGGCCCACAGGAGAATACACCAAAAACATGAGCACACAGCATATGCTCTGACATAGAAAAACACAGATTTGGGAGATCAAATAGCTGCAGATTATTTCTTTTCAATTTAATAAAGATTAGCTGTCTTCCTAAGAAAATATGCTCTTTAATCTTCATGGGCACCACAGAGATTCTCAATAGCTCAGAGAGTCAAATGCCTGCTTATCCCCCATGGAAAGCATGTAAATATTAAGAAAACTAAAAATGGATCTTGCTTAAATGTTCTCATAAAAATTGCTTTTTGTCCCATTTCTTATTCACAGTTGATTCCCTAGTGAACTATATTAACAAGACATTTCTGAAGATGGGCAACAAATGGAAAGTTTAGTACTTTCTTCTGATGGTATAACTGTCAACCCACCCCAGAGTGAGAGATTTAAAATGAGAAAACCTGCAATAAAGAGAATGAAAATGATAAAATGTCTCTACTAGATGAGCCAAAATACAGAACAGTTATCCACTAAGCATTTATATGTTCTAGAGAAACACATAAAATTAGGGAAGATGAGAGATGGGGGATAACTAACTCTTAACACACAGTCATTTATTTTTTTACTTTTGCTATCTGCACAGGCATGATACCCTAAGGCAGTGTCCTCCAGACTTTAATATTAGTTGAAGTATCTTTTTTCCAAGAAATCCTGAGGTCAAATACACAGATGCATAGACTGGTCATCCTTCACCAACAACTGGGTTTCATGAAGTCCTAGGGCTCCAGAATAGGAACCAAGTTAAACCAGAAAGGGGCCAATCCTCTCAAGGATGGGAGCAATAAACACAGGTTTTATAACTATGTACATAAGTAAAATGCATTAAATATTCATGGGAGCCTCTCTGTCACTTAAGCAGACACAAATGTTGAAATCGAGTTGGCTCATTATATATAGGCTCCAGTAATTGGCCAATTTACATTTATTTAACATTTACAAGGTTATGTACAGAAGAGTAAAAAGGTGCAGTTACTCCTTTCCAATAGCTGATAATATAACAAAGTAAGATGCAGTGTATGTGTACTACTTCAGCTAACCCTTCAGAGGAAGTAGGTCTCAGATGGAACTTTTATTCATCCATTCAACGATATTTATTAAGTGTCTACGATGTGCTGGGGAATGAGGGATAAAACAGACAAAAGTGCCTGTCATCTACAAGTACCCGGCACTCAACTAGGAATGTCTTCACATTGCCTAGGATGGCCAACCTGGGATTTAACTCAAGTAATCCAAAACTACTTTCTACTCTTGTCAATTCGAAAACCCTTTATTTATTTTTTTTAAGTTCAACTTATTATTAAAATGAATATTTTCATTTGTCTTAATCTATTTTAACTCTGCTCATGGTATTATACAAACATGTTTTGTTTGAGAGAATATATGTGTGATTTGTTGGTGCTTTTGTTTTAACTGCTCTAAACTTTTTCTTATCTTTTCTTAAAATAATTTCAACAGCATTTCATAATCTCTTCATATATAAGAGAAAATAATGTTAATATCATTATATAATTTATGATTGTCTAATGTAATACTTGTTTAATATAAATATAATCCTACAATTATAAGTAAAATATTTAGGACTATTAGTATTCAAGAATATTCTATGCTTATATTTCATGTGTAGGTAAAAGTATTCCATACATTTAATAAAATCCATAAAAAAAAAACACTAAAACATTTTAAATATTTTTGTTTAATTAAAAGCATTTATTTAATAACATAAAACAAGCAATTTGCTTAACAGCTCACATTTTAAATTAGTTAAGTTCCCATTGTATTCTATCCACGTGTGCATTATGGGGGAGAATACAGACATTTGATTGCTTTATATCGATCTTCACACTGAGCATTGTATGTGTCTGATTAAGAACTTTCTAAGGTATGGACACTGTTAGCACATCAATCAAAGATATACAAAGATGGTACATAGTTTAATAATTTATTATGCGAATAAAGCCTTATTCATAGAGTCCAGGCCTCTAGGAATTTCTGGGGGAAAAGTAAAAAATATGGTCCTGTTACATTTGATAAATTACTTACTTTATATGCACATTTTTACACCTTCTAGTTATGCCTGAAATATACAACCACCTGTTCACCACATAAATCCATCAGAGAACTTCTGGGGCATATTTTTCCAATTTCAGAATCTGGGTAAGTCTAGCTACCAAACTAGTGATGGAAGTTTGCATATTCAGGAGGCTATTTGGGCAATTTGCTGACAGAAATAAGGATTTGCTCACCTCCATCGGCCTCTCTGGCCTCCTCAGAATCACCAACTGGATCATCCCTCGTATATTTCCTTCCATGGACATTGATCGTCTAAGTGTTTCCATAGCTTCATGGTTGGATTTCCCCAAGAGAGATTCCCCATTAACTGCAATCAGCTGGTCATTCATCCGCAGACGACCATCCTAGGGCAGAGGAAAGAAAAACAGTCCTAAACAGAGAAAAGTCTGGTGATGACATGAGGCTGTTCCAGGGAAAGTTCAAGTTTAAATACAAAAACAGAAAATAATTCAGCTATTAGAAATGATTTATTTTCTATGGCAGAAAAACGTTCTGGAGCTTATCAAATAGTCACAAAGACAAGCAATAATGCATTGTGTGAAAGTATTTTTTTAGAATCTTCGAGTCCTGAGACGCAATAATTTAGATGTTTGTATAACGTCTCTTACTGAGAATCTTTGGCAAGTATGCAAACCCAGCCTGATTCTGCCATTTGCTCTGGCAGGGACCATATTGCTGACTCCAGGAAAGGGGTTTGAAAACCAAAGGAAGTGGTCATATCCCTTAGAAACAGGCTTTGCATTATTAGTCACACAGAGACATCACGCTTAAATACCTTGTGCTTGACAGTGGTAATGTGTCTTCAGATGTTGCTGGCTCTATTGAATAAAATTCTCATGTACGTTTCTCTAACACAACCAAAAGTTGCTAGTTTGATAGTCTGCAAAGGGAACACAAGGACCTGTGCTGTGCTGTCCTTTTGCAGAAAAGCTTGAGAAAGGGGATTGTCAAGCCTTTTATAAGGAGGTTCTGACTGCTGAGTACTTTGTCCAGCATTTCCAGGAAGGAACGGCACCTCAGCATGAGAGCAGGCAGCCCGGACTGTAGACTAATTCAGTTCTTGGCACCAGCCATCCTCAGCAGGAATCCCTCACAAAAAGGAGTCTAGCAGAATCCAGCTCTGCCTACAAAAGAACTTGAGAGGACCAAGGTACATCTCCCCGACAGGCAGTCTGGTGGGGAAGTGGTGCTTAAATATTGACAGTCAGATTAGAAACATGACTTATGTCTTGTTGTCCACTAGGGTAGAAAGTTCTTGCTCTGAGGCACAGAGGCAGGGTTAGGGATCTTATGCTGTGGCTGCTGCTGATAAATGTAATAGAGATAATAATAGGTGTGTGTAACAATTTACCTTTCCAGAAATTCCCTCTCCCCATTAACAATCTCAAGTGATTTTCACAGAATTCCAGGCAGGAAAGTGAGGTGACTTGCCCCAGGTCACAAAAGCAAGGTCCAGACAAACCAACCCAAGGCCAGGTATCATGCACCTGGTCTCTTCTGTGTCTCCTAGGATTCCCTTGTTATTCCTCTCTAGACAGTAATTGTGCAACACTTAAACAGGGTCAGGAAAACATTAAAGAATGTTAGCAGTTGGAAGCATCTGGGATCCATGTTCAAACAAATAGAATGAAATGCACAAGGGAAGCAAGTCCTTAAGAAAGGAGAAAAGCAGACATAAAGTGACCAAGAGGGCCAAAACTATAGCTCTGGGAGAGAAATCCTGTGAACAAGTTGATGAGTTTCGACTAGTGCGGTTGCAGATGGTCAGAGGACACTCCTCTGTTGACAGAGGGAACAGGGTGAGTGGTGACAGCTGCTCTGGGGAGTTAAAGTCTTAGAGAGGCACTTCTGGAGAGGGTGTTGGGCGCGTGGGATCTCGGGGGCCACCCAAAGGAGCACACAACCTTCTCGGTGAAGAAATGAAGATGGCAAGGCAGTGTGATCGATAGAGAAGGGTGAACCATCAAAGCTGTAAAATGCCTGAGTGGGCTGCCTCAACGGAGCTGTGTCTCCTCCCTTCCTCTTGTTTTCCCAGTCCACTTAACCTTTACCCTAATTTGGAGCAAATCTGGAAATGAGATTTACAGGAAAGGCCAATTGAGAAAGAAATCTCTTATTTCTGTTATCTATTTTGAGTGAGGCACAGAAAGAATGAGATTAAGGTTCCTGGAAATGGGGGTAAGACAAAAACAACCATAATGGTTCAGTCCTACAAAGGGAGACATTTGATGGAAGGAGGATTATTGGGTTGAATCTTGGGAAGGAGGTTATGAGGGTCACTCAAAATCTTTTTCGGACAACTGGTTTTTAAAGAGAAGGAGGAAGCAGAAGAGTTGGATCAAGATCCTAGCTATGTTAACAGGAAATGAGGTCTAGTGTTGGATTTGTAGAGGCTTAGTCTTGGCAGGACACCTTGTCCTCTGGAACAGGAAGAAGAAAGATCAAGTTTGAAACTGTATGAATATCTGTAGAATGAAGGAAATGAAATCTGAGTGAGATCCCACCTGGTAACCTTCAGTGAACCTGTTCTGTGAGGTCTGGGACCAGGTCTGTGTGAAGAGGTAACCAAGAGATAAGGAGATATAAAGAGAACATTTTTTGGGGGGGTGGAGGGGTAAATAATCTCTTGCAAACAGGCATTAAGCACAAGCTTTTATTTTCAGTTGCATTCCGAGTCTCAAGCATGCAGAACTACGCTGAAGTAGAACATGTTTGCTGAATCCCAACCCCAAACAAAAAGGCAGGTCTGGTCACCCCAGGGCAGCTGTGATTTTTTTTAAAGAGACATTCACATTCATCACAAGCAGCACGGTAGAGCTGCGGGCGTGATAAAAATCCACACTCTCCATTTTCAGGTTTGGCTAGTCTGTTGCTACTGGTGTGCGATTTTTCTTAAAAGATAAATGATGGGTAATTTCACTAATGGTGATGCCACTAAGCGCCATGTTGTCCTAACATTTAGAATATAACCACAGAACTTAGAGCTGGAAGTATCCCTAGGGGTCATCTTGTCCAACCTTCTCTGTGTACAGATGAGTAATGTGACGGCCAAAGAGGACCAGAAGTCATTTATTGAACTCCTCTTAAGAGAAGGCACTTAGATTAGGACTTGCTCAGCTGCATTAGAAGAGCCCAAGTCCTGACTTCTCGGCATCACCTATTCACTAACCATTCTGTCATCTACAAAGATGACTAGTAGTCCCTACAGCAGTAATGCTCCAAGCAGAAAGGGACTTTCAAACCCAGAGAGGACAATATGTTACATGATATCTCCTAGAAGAGAACCCTACCTGCAAAGTCAGATGGCAAACGATATGAAGACAGGAGACTGAGCTGGGGGATGGAAGAGCAAGAAAGCGAACTAGAAGAGGGAGAAAAAGAAAACACTCCTCTACCCATCTGACTTTCTATATATACCTACCCAGGTCTAGTCTTGATGTAAAATGAGGTTGGTTCAATGAGGTCATTACTCCTCAGTCATCAAATATCACTCAGAATTATGTATGTCTATTCTGCTTTGGAGTAATTTTGTCAAGAAAAGTAGTTTTTTATTTCCCTCCCCCAGTGATATTATGTCCAAGCAAATGCTTAATTAAGTATGAGGATGCTAACTCTCATCAACTGATTTTATATAAGTGAATTCAACTATCCTAGGATATTCCTCAGTAATTTTAGAGTGTTTATTTCACTATAATCTGGGCCATGCTTACATTTTTTTTAATCCCTTTCTGCTATATACTGAATGTTTGTATCCCCCACACCCCTGCCCAAATTTATATGTTGAAATCCTGACTTCCAAGATAAGGTTATTAGGAGATGGGGCCTTTGGGGGTGATTAGGTTATAAGAATGGAGTCCTCATGAATGGGATTAGTGTTCTTAAAATGGGGCCTGAGCGAGAGAGATCCCTGCTCCCTCATGCCATGTGAGGTTACAGCAAGATGATGTCATCGATCAACCCAAAGGGAGCCCTGACCAGACTCCTATCCGCTGGTGCCTTGATCTTAGGCTTCAGCCTCCAAAATTGTGAAAAATAAATTCCTGTTGTTTATAAGCCAGACATTTTATGGTATCGCGTTACAGCAGCCTGAACACACGGAGACACTTTACTTCCTAATCACAATGACAGCGGCTACACTCTCACCTCTGGCAACCCCATAACCAATATATCCATCCTCAAGCTAGAAGTGAGTACAGGAAATTTTCAAAAGAGGAAGAACAGAGAAAAGATAAGAAGTGACTTCCTCAGGATACCTTAGGGCCAGTAAAAACTGGTAGGAGATTTGAGTCTTATCCGTGTCCTGGGCTGGCTTCAAATCCCATCAGCCCTCACATGGTTCTAATGCAGGAGGAAGAGCGAACTGTTTGAGTTTTACATCTCCCTTTAACTGAACACTAATACAGGCCAGTCCTTGTGCAAATATTTTGCATATGTTCTCTCATTCCTTTCTTACCACAGCCCTTTGATACTGCTCTTCACTATTTAAGAGATATAAAAAGGAGGCTCAGAGAAATTAAGTGACTTGTTAAAGGGCACTGGCATGACCAGGTCTCCTTGTCTGTGAGTCAAACGTGTAGCTGTCATGCTAAGTTGCATCTAAAATCAGAGTCCTAGAGATGAGTAAAGGGACTACAGTTATTAATGACAAGAATTATTAATGATTTTCTACTTTGTGCAGGCATTGTGCCGAAACCTTTACATGCACTAGCCAATTTAATCCTTACAGCAATCCTATACATTAGGGACTATTGCCCCATCTTATAACAGAAGAAACCAAAGACCAGGCATTATGACAATTCACATTTGAATGCATTCCGAGTCTCAAGCATGTTGCATTCCGAGTCTCAAGCATGCATTATGACAATTCACATTTCTAAAAGCTGATTTGAACTGTCTTATTCACTCGAAAGCCCATGTTTTCAATCACTTTGCTAATAATTCTTGTGTTTTAGGGACTCTTCATCTCCTTTGAGTATCTAATAAAAGCTACAGATTCTTACCTCTTAAAATAAATATTGCTTTAGCCAGTTTGGCTTAGTGGATAGAGTGTCTGCCCACAAACTGAAGGGTCCCTGGTTCAATTCCAGTCAATGGTACATACCTAAGTTGCAGATCCCTGCCCTGGTCCTGGCTCTTTTGAGAGGCAACCAATTGATGTGCCTCTCTCACATCAATGTTTCTCTCTCCCCTTCCTTTCCACTCTCTCTAAAAATCAATGGAAAAAATCCTCAGATGAGGATTAACAACAATGAAAATAAATAAATAAACAAACAAAAATAAATATTTACACCATGGTTTCTCCTCCGCTGGACACTGGGCCAGGTGATTCTTAGTGGGGGAGCGT